GGAACCATACACATTTTTAAAACGAGGGTTTGATAAAGCTCATGGAGCGGGAGAGAGAGGGTCTAGTAGCAACCGGTGAAGAGGGGGGCCAGGAGCTAGGACTCGACCCCTGCAACCACAAATAGGTGAGTACAAATTTGGTGAGTACACGTACTCATACCCAACAGGCCTAGAGTCAATCGACATGGGCCTAAAGGGCAATGGGAACTAACACAACACACACACACAACACCCCACACACACACACACACACACACACACAAAACACGACGCAGGGGGCCAAGGCAAGAGTTGTGAGAGTAATGAATGATGTTTACACAAATGGCTCAGTGACAAAAAGGGCTCAAGCGAGCAAGCAAAGTCCTGTTCATGGGTGACTTCAAACCCAAGGAAATACTGGGAGAACTTTGGGGCCACATGGGGGCCAAGAAACCGGTTGGAGGGCTAAGATGATGAGGTGTACTGGAAAAGCTTGTAACCAACACGGTAAGGGACACTACCAGAGAAAAAGAGGAAAAAGATGAACCACGAACTGGGCCTAGTAAATTTACCTTGATTGTGCAGATATTGAGGACATCACATACGAAAAAACCCCTTTGGGCAAGGCATGTGGTCAAAGAATTCGAATACACATAGAGTTACAAGTGGAGGGAGAGCAGGAAAGCCAGACAATAAGCAAACTACAAAGAAAAGGACTACGCCGGAAAAGAAAAAAACTTCCCGAACGGGGCTCAGTGGGACGGAGAGCTGACAGGGGAAGTCATAAACGAGATGATAGAAAATTGACACAATATGCAAGGAAGCTGAGGGGAGGTTTGTACCCAAGGTTAAACAGAAATAATATAAAAGCCAGATGAGCCCTTGGTTCACCCAAAGGGCAGGGAGGCCAAAAAACCAGTGTGCAAAGAAAGGGAAGAAGTATAGAAGGCGAAGGACCCCGGAAAAAGGAGAACATCGTAGAGCCAGAAATGGGAAAATGCACAGGTAAGAAGGGGGCCCAAAGACATTTTGAAATGACATACAGCGAAAAGCCAAAATCGACCAAAGCTGTTGTACAGCCACTCAGGAGGAAAACCACAGTCCAAGGACCAGTTATCAGACTAAAGGAAGGAAGGAGGGAAAGATCACAAAGAAACGACCACAAGTATGTGAGGAATCAACATGAGAATCAAAAAGTGTTCACAGAGGAGACAGAAGGAACTCCGAAGGACAGATAGGTGGGGGACACACCAAAGTGTTGGACAAATACATACAACGAGGAAGAAGTGAAGAAGCGCTTGAGCGACAAGGACACCTTTAAAGGCGATGGGGCCCGGATACATCTCACATGGGTCCTGAAAAGAGGGAGCAAGGCCTATGTGTACCCTAACACAAAAATCAACACATCTGTCAAAACAGGGAGATTGCCCGGCATGGAAGACAGCAAATGTAGTTCCAATTTTTAAAAAGGAGCAGACCCAAAAAGCACAAAACTAAAGACCAGTGCACGACTGTATAGTATGCAAAGCATGGAGAAATTATCAGAAGAGTGTGGAACCCCTAGAAAGGAATGAGCTTTTCAACAGCAGCCAACACGGTTTTCAGGATGGGAAATCCTGTTCAAAACCTCTGGAGTTCTAAAAGGCAGGGTGACAGAAGTAAGACAAGAAAGAGAGGGGTGGGTAGATTGCATTTTCTTGGACTGTAAGAAGGCGTTTGACACAGTTCCACACAGGAGATTAGTGTAAAAACTGGAGGACCAAGCAGGGATAACAGGGAAGGCACTATAATGGATCAGGGAATACCTGTCAGGAAGACAGCAACGAGTCATGGTACGTGGCGAGGTGTCAGAGTGGGCGCCTGTGACGAGTGGGGTTCCACAATGGTCAGTCCTAAGACCGGTGCTGTTTCTGGTATTTGTGAACGACATGACGGAAGGAATACACTCCGAAGTGTCCCTGTTTGCAGATGATGTGAAGTTGATGAGAAGAGTTCATTCGATCGAAGACCAGGCAGAAATACAAAGGGATCTGGACAGGCTGCAGACCTGGTCCAGCAACTGGCTCCTGGAGTTCAATCCCACCAAGTGCAAAGTCATGAGGATTGGGGAAGGGCAAAGAAGACCGCAGACGGAGTACAGTCTAGGGGGCCAGAGACTACAAACATCACTCAAGGAAAAAGATCTTGGGGTGAGTATAACACCAGGCACATCTCCTGAAGCGCACATCAACCAAATAACTGCCGCAGCATATGGGCGCCTGGCAAACCTCAGAACAGCATTCCGACATCTTAATAAGGAATCGTTCAGGACCCTGTACACCGTGTACGTTAGGCCCATATTGGAGTATGCGGCACCAGTTTGGAACCCACACCTAGCCAAGCATGTAAAGAACTAGAGAAAGTGGAAAGGTTTGCAACAAGACTAGTCCCAGAGTTAAGAGGTATGTCCTATGAGGAGAGGTTAAGGGAAATCAATCTGACGACACTGGAGGACAGGAGAGATAGGGGGGACATGATAACGACTTACAAAATACTGAGAGGAATTGACAAGGTGGACAAAGACAGGATGTTCCAGAGACTGGACACAGCAACACGGGGACACAGTTGGAAGCTGAAGACACAGATGAATCAAAGGGATGTTAGGAAGTATTGCTTCAGCCACAGAGTAGTCAGGAAGTGGAATAGTTTGGGAAGCGATGTAGTGGAGGCAGGATCCATACATAGCTTTAAGCAGAGGTACGATAAAGCTCATGGTTCAGGGAGAGTGACCTAGTAGCGACCAGTGAAGAGGCGGGGCCAGGAGCTTGGACTCGACCCCTGCAACCTCAACTAGGTGAGAACTAGGTGAGTACACACACACACACACACACACAAAAAAAAAAAAAATAAATAAATCCGTAGGGGTAATTCAGCAGTAACTGGTGTAACAAGCTGGTCACCCGACGAGGGTGAAAGGGGTCATTAATTAATTATGCACATAACCTGTTCACCACAAGTCTAAAATTCGTTAATACCACAAACAGGGACTTGAGTAAACCCTTAGCATATATATACAGACATACACCTCTGGGTGTGTATATCCTTTGCGCCCCACAGTTAACCACAGTGTCGACCTAGTACACCACGGATAGCGAGAGAGTTTATTTAGGGACAGGTACACATAAGTACAAATATCATACGTAGAGCAAATTACCTAGGATAACTCCCAAAAAGAGTCAGTGACATATTTCTATTGGAGTATTGCCTCTCCACTGAGTTACAATAACAACTCCAAGAAAACTTAAAAAAAATATCATCGAATCAGCGAATAATGAAGAATTATAACAGTAAACAGCGATACGTGTGATAGTAACATTTAAAGATGCATCAGAAATTATAGGTATTGTAAACATTAATTCCCTTAAAAAAAAATTGGTATACAGGCTAAAAGGATGTTATTCTATTACAGTTAATTTTAAGGCACCAACCCCATGTAGGATATACTACCCCCTCCCCCCGGATGCCACCCAGAACAGATGGTTTACACCTAGGTACCTACTGACTGCAACATGAACAGAATTCTCAGAACTCGCAGGATAATACGCAAATAAAACTTTGAACGATTTACACACAAACATGAGCAGTGAATATATACACAAAGTGGTCAGCGTTGAGAACATAATTGTGATCAGATCTATCTAAAGTTCATTACCTTTGTAACTTCAGTTATCAACACTTGAGGGCCCATAATGGGTCCAGGTACAGCTGTAATATTTTGACTACCGCCCACAGGATGGGTATGGGGAGCATAATAATTAAACAAACTGAGAACCCAGAATTCTGAGTACTCTGCCCACCTGCCTCCCCTCAGTGGCTGTGCCTTCATGTTGGTGGGGGAGGGGGGGCTCTTGTTCCAAGGAACTGAACTTATCCTCCCCTTCCTTGGATCGAATCTGAATGCCTCCCTTTTTCCTATGGGTTTAGCGATTTCGTCTTATTAAAATTTAAAGGAATTACCGGCCTGCCAGCTTGCCCACCCTCCTGCCTGCCTGTGCCCATACGTCTATCAGCTTGCCCACCCTCCTGCCTGCCTGTGCCCATACGTCTATCAGCTTGCCCACCCTCCTGCCTGCCTGTGCCCATACGTCTATCAGCTTGCCCACCCTCCTGCCTGCCTGTGCCCATACGTCTATCAGCTTGCCCACCCTCCTGCCTGCCTGTGCCATACGTCTACCAGCTTGCCCACCCTCCTGCTGCCTGTGACATACGTCTACCAGCTTGCCCACCTCCTGCCTGCCTGTGTACATACGTCTACCAGCTTGCCCACCCTCCTGCCTGTGTCCATACGTCTACCAGCTTGCCCACCCTCCTGCCTGTGTCCATACGTCTACCAGCTTGCCCACCCTCCTGCCTGCCTGTGTCCATACGTCTACCAGCTTGCCCACCCTCCTGCCTGCCTGTGTACATACGTCTACCAGCTTGCCCACCCTCCTGCCTGCCTGTGTACATACGTCTACCAGTTGCCCGCCCGCTTGCTCGCCTGCCAGACAGGCTGCCTATCCGCTCGCCGGGCTGGTTCCGTCTATCTGTCCGCTTGCCCGACTGTCTGCCCGGTTTACTATTCATTTGTTCGTTCGTCCGCCTGCTCGCCTACCTGTCTATCCGCAGCTCTATTATTAGAATCATGGGGAGCGCTAAACCGTAGGATTATACAGCCCGCAGCCCTATCCGCCCGCCATCTTGCTTACCAATCACACAGGCTGCGTGTCCGCTCGCCTGAATGCTTGTCTGTCTGTCTACTCCCTCGATCGCCTGCCTGCTTGCTTCTAATCGCTCTTCCGTTCGCCTGCCTGTCCGCAGCCCTATTCGCCTGCCTGCCTGTCTATCTGGAGCTTTATCCGCTCGCCCATTCAGCTTGCCTGCCTATCTCTGTCCGTCCGCCTGCCTGCCTGTCTGCCAGCTTGCCTACCCATTTGTCTGTCTGCCTCCTTCACTCCCTGGCTCTCCACATACCTGTACTGTTCCAACATGCACCTTCTGCTGTACCACCAGAGGGCTCGCAGTACCTGCTCCTCCCGCGGCCGCAGTGAAAGTGCGGTATATATGTGAAGTGAGTGTGTGAGGCGGCAGCAGTGTGGGTGTAAGCGACGATCATGGCACCCTGGACACCATTCTTGACGGTCAGTCTTTCTAACTATCCTCTTACACCTGTCCAGCCACCTACCACCATCATCCACCACCATCCACCTTCCACCACCATCCACCTACCACATCCATTCCATCCATCCTACCACCATCCACCTACCACCTATCCATCTACCACCATCCACCACCATCATCATCCACCACCATCCACCTCAAACCACCACCATCCATCTACCACCACCATCCACCTTCCACCATCATCCACCACCATCCATCTACCACCATCTTCCACCTACCACCATCATCCACCACCATCCATCTACCACCATCATCCACCACCATCCATCTACCACCATCATCCACCACCATCCATCTACCACCATCATCCACCTTCCATCACTACACACATTACACTAAAAATTACTTTAGTTCAACCTGTTTCTTAAATCATTCAGAAGTGGACGCACATAGACGCGTTAGAAAACGTACGTCGATGCAAGAACACGAATATACATACACTGTTGAAGGGCTCTTGATCCAAGGAGCAGGAATTGCCCTCCTCCTCCCTCTAGGATTAAACCTGGTTACCTCCCGTTGCCTGGACATGGTATGACCCCGCAACGGGTTTAGCGCTTTCCAATGACAACACAACATTGTACTCAATTTGCAAAGACTAAGTTGATTGTGAAATCGTGAATTTCGTTACCGAGTTGCTTAGAGGGTATGTATACCAAGAGGTATACATCTCTGTATACAAAATGAGTCTACCTTATACACAGACAGACAGTCCTCGATGACGCACTGACTCTCTTGGGTTATCTTGGTTATCGGGGTTAAAAATTCGAACAAATCTTAGCTTTTATTACTCGGAATCCACACAGAAAAAATTTCTCCTACAGCTGTCCCTGTAGTGTCACTTACTGTAGTTACCTGTAGTCGATTCCAGGGGTCATCGCCCCCGCGATGACCCCTGGAATCGACTACGGGTAGGTACAGTAAGTGACATTAGAAGGACAGCTATAGTAGAAGTTTTTTCTGTGTGGATTCCGAGTAATAAAAGCTAAGATTTGTTCGAATTGGTAGACCATCCTACTGGTAGACCATCCTACTGGAAGACCATCTTATTGGTAGATCATCCTACTGGTAGACCATCCTACTGGAAGACCATCTTATTGGTAGATCATCCTACTGGTAGACCATCCTACTGGAAGACCATCTACTGGTAGACCATCCTACTGGAAGACCATCTTATTGGTAGATCATCCTACTGGTAGACCATCCTACTGGTAGACCATCCTATTGGTAGACCACCCTACTGGAAGACCATCCTACTGGTAGACCATCCTATTGGTAGACCACCCTACTGGAAGACCATCCTATTGGTAGCCCATCCTATTGGTAGACCAGCCTATTGGTAGACCATCCTATTGTTAGACTATCCTATTGTTAGACCATCCTATTGGTAGACCATCTTATTGGTAGATCATCCTATTGGTAGACCATCTTATTGGTAGATCATCCTACTGGTAGACCATCCTATTGGTAGACCATCTTATTGGCAGACCATCCTATTGGTAGACCAATCCTATTGGTAGACCATCCTATTGGTAGACCATCTTATTGGCAGACCATCCTATTGGTAGACCATCCTATTGGTAGACCATCCTATTGGTAGACCATCTTATTGGCAGACCATCCTATTGGTAGACCATCCTATTGGTAGACCATCCTATTGGTAAACCATCCTATTGGTAGACCACCCTACTGGAAGACCATCCTATTGGTAGACCACCCTACTAGTAAACCATCCTATTGGTAGACCATCAACCAGGAATCCTGGTTGATGGTCTACCTATAGGAGGTTTACATCTCTCAGTCCTTGATGGTGGTGAGGGGTTCTTGACTTAAGGGATTGGACTTATTCTTTCTTTGGCTCGAATCTGAGTGCTTCGCACTCCTCTAGGCGCTATAGGACCCCTACAGCTTTAGCGCTCCCTCATGAATAATAATACGATGTTGACATTATTAGTAGTAGTATATGGGAAACGATAAACCTGTACGGGTTGTACAGCGCCTATGGAAGTGGGGGAGTAATCATGTTTGTTTCAAGGGAAGGGTAATACAAAGTCCTCGAATCAAGAGCCCTTCAATATCAAGGCACACCCTTGAAGTGAATGGGACACACATACAGCAGGGGAATGGGAGGTAATCAGGTTTAATACGAGGAAGGCGAGAAATGGTTCCAATTCCACCAACATCAAGGCCCTCTCCCTCCGAAGGATGAACAATCATCCCAATTAGAGAATAAAGAGGAGAATGAAACAGTAGTAGAGAATCTTTAAGGGGCACGTAAGTACCCTTGTCTTTTAATATTTTCATTTTCCACTATAATCTACCTTGTCCATAATTACTATGGAAAAATAAGCATATTATTAGAGGACGGGGGAATTTACGTGCCTCTTAAGTATGATTTCTGTGTGACTTATCATCTTAGACCTGAGAACACACAACACTGCCTTCACACAAGCTACAAACCTCCCTGGAAGTGGTGGGCCTCGAGGTGAGCACACTTCCTAACATTTCGCCCGTGGCTTGGTTGATAGAGCACTTAGCTTACATACTGTCTGTGGTTCGATCCCGACACGGGTAGAAACGTTGGGCATGTTTCCTTACACCTGCTGCCCCAGTTCACCTAGCAGTAAGTAGGTACCTGGGTGTTAGTTGACTGTTGTGGGTCGCATCTTGGGAGACAAGATTAAAGGATCCCACTGGAAATAAGAGTCCCAGATGACGCGCTGACTTTACTGTGTTATCCTGCGTGGCTACCCTTCCTTTACCGTTGCCTTTAATGAGCTCCGAGAGTTTTTCTACTCCCGAAGTCCGGCCATGAGCCGGATTATCTGGCGCTTGCTTGGTCAACAAGACTGTTGCAGCTGGTGGCCCGCTGAACTACATATCCATCACAACCTGGTTGATCTGACACTTGGTGAAGATACTCATCCAGTTTCCTCTGGAAGACTTCTATACTTATCCCAGTAGTGTTTCTATCTTCTGGTAATATGTTGAATGGTCTGGGGCCAGGGATGTTGATACAGTGTTCCCTTATTGTGCCCACTGCATTTCTGCTTTCCACTGGGTTTATTTTGCACTTCCTCCTATATATCTCACTCCAGTATGTTGTTACGGCAAGTGTGCATATTTAGGACAAGGCTGTCAAGTACTTTCCAGGTATATATTAAAAATCCGAACAAAATCGCTGCAGTAAACGCAGAACTGCCAAATTTACGGGCAGTTTACAGGAACATCAACAAGGAAGCATTCACAACCTTATACTGGTACACGGCAAGACAAGCTCATCTTGGAGTACGCAGCGCCAGTGTGGGCAAGTTAGGCTCATCTTGGAGTACGCAGCGCCAGTGTGTGCAAGTTAGGCTCATCTTGGAGTACGCAGCGCCAGTGTGGGCAAGTTAGGCTCATCTTGGAGTACGCAGCGCCAGTGTGGGCAAGTTAGGCTCATCTTGGAGTACGCAGCGCCAGTGTGGGCAAGTTAGGCTCATCTTGGAGTACGCAGCGCCAGTGTGGGTAAGTTAGGCTCATCTTGGAGTACGCAGCGCCAGTGTGGGCAAGTTAGGCTCATCCTGGAGTACGCAGCGCCAGTGTGGGCAAGTTAGGCTCATCTTGGAGTACGCAGCGCCAGTGTGGGCAAGTTAGGCTCATCTTGGAGTACGCAGCGCCAGTGTGGGTAAGTTAGGCTCATCTTGGAGTATGTAGCGCCAGTGTGGGCAAGTCAGGCTCATCTTGGGGCATGCAGCGCCAGTGTGGGCAAGTTAGGCTCATCTTGGAGTATGTAGCGCCAGTGTGGGCAAGATAGGCTCATCTTGGGGCACGCAGCGCCAGTGTGGGTAAGTCAGGCTCATCTTGGGGTATGCTGCGCCAGTGTGGGCAAGATAGACTCATCTTGGGGTACGCAGCGCCAGTGTGGGTAAGTCAGGCTCATCTTGGGGTATGCAGCGCCAGTGTGGGCAAGTCAGGCTCATCTTGGGGTATGCAGCGCCAGTGTGGGCAAGATAGGCTCATCTTGGGGTACGCAGCGCCAGTGTGGAATCCGCGTCTGGTAAGATAAGATAAGATAAGATAAGATTTCGTTCGGATTTTTAACCCCGGAGGGTTAGCCACCCAGGATAACCCAAGAAAGTCAGTGCGTCATCGAGGACTGTCTAACTTATTTCCATTGGGGTCCTTAATCTTGTCCCCCAGGATGCGACCCACACCAGTCGACTAACACCCAGGTACCTATTTGCTGCTAGGTGAACAGGACAATAGGTGTAAGGAAACGTGTCGGAATTTCCACCCGCCGGGAATCGAACCCGGGCCCTCCGTGTGTGAAGCGGGAGTTTTAGCCACCAGACCACCGGGCCACCGGTAATGCACGCAAAGGGGTATGAAATATGATGAGTGGCTATAGGAGCTGAAGCTGACGACACTAGAGGACATAAGAACCAGAGGTGATATAATTACGACGTTCAGAATAATGAGAGGAATTGAGAGGGCGGACAGGGAGTGTGTTTGAGAGGCGGGTCTCGGGTTCACGAGGTCACAATTGGAAGTTTAAAGGCACAGACGAGCCATAGGGATGTTAGGAAATACTTCTGCCTTAGAGTGGACAGGAAGTGGAACTACCCAGAGGCAGAATAGGTATGATAGAGCTCACGCAGCCAGGAGTGAAACCAGTAACAGCCAACAGAGAGGGGCCAGGAGATGAGACTCGACCCCTGCAACCACAATTAAGTGAGTACACTCAGTGGTGTCATTCAGGTGTGGACCACACAACACTGCCTTCTCCGGTGCTGTAATTATCATTTATTATACTCTACTAACATTATTTTTGGTCAGTGTGAGGCAACGATGACAAGATTCTCAAAATTATTACATTGACTCGTGGATTATGAAATGTTGGTAGAAAGTGACTATATAACCTATAAGGGTTTAGCACATTTTTTTTAATATAATATTGAAACAGGTTCAAATTCTGTTG